ATTGTCGTAAATATCGTTTTATATCCGCACAGTTTTTTAAGTAAAGGTATTGCTTGCGCTGCAGTTACTTTCTGTTCCGAATTTAAAGTACAGATGTAAGTATCTTCTTTTGTATAGTTGTAACCAATTAACTGTATCGTATTTACCTAAAACGATGGTAGTGCCACTCTTTTGTATGATGCTGCTCAATGTTGCTTCCTTTTATTCGTAACATATCCAAATTTCAACAATTTCGAACTACTTTTAGCCTTTATCGCAATTTTTTAATATGTTGCTTAATTTTTGGAAACCAGTGTAATATCGGATAATTTTTTTTACTATTTAATTATTTTTACATGTTTTCAGCGTTCTGGTCAAAATTTGCCACCGAAAAGGTATTAAAAAAATAAGCAAATACCTTTTTCACAAATACAAAAGAGCGGCACAACAAATTTCTGAAGCAAAACTACCAACACAATTTAATGATCAACAGAAAGAATGATCAACAGAAGAGATGCATTTAGATCGCAACTGGACTATATTTAATATGATCCTGCAATTCTGAGTGTATTCCTGACATGTTTTCTGCGTTGTCATATGTTTGTCCTATACAGATACTAATATCTATGGATAATTTTGCTAAAGCGGGCAATACCTATTGTTCCAAATATGATGCTGTATCGCTAGAAGACTTTCTTTTATATCACCGCTTCCCAATGCGTATCTTATAACTAATGTCAGTTGATCAATGGGCAAAATATCGGGTATAAGTTGAACTCGAGTATAAGGAACAAGTTGTTGATTTAAGTTCTAATTGTAAGTTCTTCTAATATATATGTTATAGAATATTTGTTATAATGATGCTGATGAATCCCTTACAAAGAGCATATGACAAATAACTTACATTTCCTCTCTATTGCCGAATTTTTTTAAATGCAGTATCAAAAAACTGTCATATTAACTCAATCTATTCTATTTAAAACTGAAGATCTTTCAAACAAACTATTTAAAACATTATTTCTAAAATTAAGGAAGAGCCTAATATATCCTCACAAAGGTATTCGAATTTAATGTTAATTATTCTTGTTATAAGTTCAGAAAAATTTGGAAATATTCGTACAAAATCAATTTTTGATGTAGTATTTTAAACAAAAATTACAGATTTTGCTGCTCTAATTCAAAATAGTAGAATGGGATTTAATTGGTTGAAATGTTAATATTAATATGTTGCTTTTTCTTTACTGCATCAATCAATATACGTAGGTCAGGAAGTTAGTTGCGCCTCTTTGTACAAATTTTCTTTTAAAGACGTTGCAAAATGGCTAAATGTTGACTTTTCCGTGGTGAGCTGGCTGTGGAACTAATTTCTAAATATAAGTTATCTATTTCGACGAAACTCTCCGGCGATACTTCAGACATTTAGCTGTATCATCTGGCGTAGCGGCTTTTACGAGGCAATTTTAGTTTGCCTGTTAATCAGTCGTAAGCATGCCTGGACAGCTGCAAGTGGCGTCCAAATTGGAAATGCGTGCAGTGATTCGCTTTTTGTAAGCGAAAACGTGTAACGGCTGTGAAATTTATCGGCAGTTTCATGAAGTTTATGGTGAAAATGCAATGTAACGTCAAGTTATTGCGAAGTGGTGCGACGTGTTTAAGAACGGACGTATAGATATTGACGACACTGAGCGCGATGGTATACCATCAACCGCCACAAATTCTGAAATGTTTGTTCGCGTGAATGATTGCATTCTTGCAAACAGACACATACCGATAGACAAAATCTCAAATAAACTGGACATTTCTTATGGAAGTGTGCATAAAATTACTGCCGATCAGCTTCAATTTCATAAAAGTTTGTGCTCGATGGGTGCCTCGTCTACTGACGGAGGAACATAAAGGGAAGCGTTTTGAAATTGCGTTGAAATTTCTGCAATGTTACCAAAAGGAAGAAAATCAGTTTTGGGACAAAATTGTGACAGGAGATGAATCTTGGATTCATCACTTCTCACCCGAAACGAAACACAGCTCCCTCAAATGGAAACATTCCACTTCCCAGACACAAAAAAAGTGTCGAACTATTCCATCTGCAGGAAACGTGATGCTGAAGCTGTTTTCGGCAGATAAGGTTTGCTGCATACAGAGTTCATGCCGAAGGGTGCTACAATTAATGCATCTTCTTATTGTGAAACACTAAAATGATAATCTCTCCTGTTTTGTTTTCTAAAGCAGTGCAACTAACTTTTTGACTGACCCCTCGTACTTACATCAATATACTTCAACATAACAAATATATTGATATGAAAAATAACTTTCGCAGATAGATTACATGTGTAACGAATAATGTACTTTTTCATTTGCAGCAAAAAAATTACAATCTAATGTTATGCAAAATAAATAAATAAAAGTGTAATTTCGCGTGAGGAGCACATATTAACCTCATATATATGAATAATATGCTATTTAAGTAGATTTTGCTAAGATTCTGAATTCTTATCAATTGGGCTTTATTAAACTATCAGGAAAATCCTTCAATATTTCTTTTCTCTTTAAGAAAATTAACTCACTCTTGTCATTTGATAAAACCCAAGCTCTTATTGTTAAAATGCAATTCAGAAGTAAAGAAATGCGTAAACTAATAATTGCCAAATAGTTTCTTACCCATTCTAGAAGTTTAAAAACACTTTTACACGTTAAAATAAAAAATATTTACAATTATTATCATATCTGATGGTCGAAACAATATTACAATCAAGTTGTTTTTACCGTATACCTACCATGCATACTAAAATGGCTTCATTATCCAAAACTAATACAGCTTATATTTCGATTATACATTAAGACAAGTACAAAAATTATTTACGAAAAGACCTGTAGAAGTGACCGTCTAGGATTTTATCCGATGGGATAAAATATGAGACACTGCTACACATGACAAATCTTCCAAATGTCACTTCCAAAGTATTTGCTAAAATAGTCTACAACTATTGGATAATCTCTGCCTTGAAAGTAAAAGAGATCTGTTCCCAGCACTTCCCAGGAACCATTAGGCATTTCTTTATTCATCATTGGTTCTTTAATGTTAGCATTTTGGAAATCAAATTTGTTGGACAATTCAGAACAACATCTTCAAAACTTTTTTGACATTCCTGTCCCCATATAATATTTTTTTTGCTTTGTTCTTGCATTTTTCTACTCTTAATTAAGCATAAGGAATTCTACTTAACATATTTTTTCGTAAACTTCTGGGTACAACAGCGCAGGAATTCTTAAATATTATCCATTTACTCCTGATAGTTCTTCTCTGGAGTTAAAATGACGTTTTGCTAGTTCGAGAACCAAACTTTTTGTATCTACCCAGTTTTAATTAATTTTCGTAAAACTGCTCTTCATCTTTTTCTGGCTCTGTCTGAGAAATTTCCATTTTAACTTTAGACATTGATATACTTTCTACAACCATTCCAACATGGGCTTCTAAATCTCCTTCAAAGAAATCAGATCTTTTGTCGCTGAATGATCTTCCTTATGCATCAGCTATAAAAGTTCTTTACCAGGTTTATATTTTATTTCAAACTGATATGCTTTAATCTTATACACATTCTTTGAATTAAATGATCTCTTGAAAATTGATTGCAGCTTTCACCTGTAAGAAATTTACCAGATATATGTTGATGAAATTTCTCAAACGCAGATACGATAGCTAAAGTTTCCTTTTCAATTTGAACATAATTCTTTTGTGCATCTGTTAATGCCTTAAATGTATAATACATTGGTAAATTATTCTGCTGTAAAGACTGCTCGTCATTCTTCTTCAGATAAAACTACAAACATAATTATACCATAATATTGTAAGACAGTTTTATTTACTAAGACAGCTTTCAGTCTTCTGAAAGCTTTTTTATATACTGGATTCCATTTCCAGGCAACCTGGATTTTCATTAAATCTCTTACACGTGATGTTATTTCTGATACATTAGGTATAAACCTAGAAAGTAATCATTCTTAAGAAAATTTCTAATTCCTAGAAGTTTTTGGGTGGTTTTTATATTTAGAAAACAATTAACTTTGTCTTCGTCTGGTTTTAAACCATTTTTAGAAAATATATCTCCCACATATTTGACTCCATTCGGTCCAGTTTTACATTATCTAACTTCTTCTATATCAAAACTTCTGGAGATGAACAGTCTATATGACGAGCTTAAAAAACAGTATATACGAAATAGAGTATAAAATTTAGAAAGCTGACAAAATGAAGGTCGATCACACGAGGGTTATCTGCCTAAAGTAAGCTGTCTTAGTTGAGGTTCTTTTATGGAAAACTGTCTCGTATATTTTTTTTACATTTGGGACAGAAAGCTACACAAACGCCCATGCAACCAGACCGTTCACAGAAATCTGAACTCTGGTCAAGATACTATTGTTTAATCGGTTTTAATTCCTCAACTGCTGGAAGGCCGCGTAGCTTTTAGTACTTTTGTTTCTCTCTGTTTATTTATCTGTTTGATTATGTATGTATATAAAGTTAAGGAAATCTTTACCTTTTCTCTTGCATTCTTGTTAATAATTTCTTATAGATGCTATTTTTTACTCTGTTAAGATTTTTATATTTTCATGCAAGTCCCTGTTAGCAATATTTCTTACTTATAACTGAAAAACGTCTCTAATAGCTCTGGCACTTCAAAAAAGAATTCATTGAATCAATCAAATAAAATAGTCTGCTTTCTTAATAAGCTAATAAATTTATCGAGTGTAATTTCAAATATTATATGTTATTTATTCGAGGTGTCGAATGTTCTTTTTGCGCTAAGTAGTGAAATGAAGAAATGAACGACGTCGATAATCAGATTTTTCATCTGCAGTCAAAAAGGTTCTTTCTAATACAAAAACGCTTATGCGCTTCATTTTCTGATGAAAACATGACATTGTGAGATTAAAATACACTTATCTCAAAGTCATTTCAAACACGTTTTCGTTTACATATGGCTTCCTCAGTTGTCGTTGGTTTTAATTGGATTTAGAATGTAGTTTCTACCTTCCCATTTTATTCAGAGCATCATATTTACTAGTTTCATATAATATCATAACACTTTGAATTAGTTACACTATTAGATACGAGAATAAAAATGAAGAATGAAAATCTGAATGGCAATCGAAGTAAGTCGTCGGTTAATTACTCATAATTATGGCAAAGTATTCGACCGAAGTAAGTGAGTTCGTATTTTTTTATATGCATTCCAACGATGACTTTCATTAATGAAAATGCTTGGTGAGGAAACTTATTCAAGTGAGAAATTTTAAAATTTTGTTCTTTGTTTTTGCGTGTTCGCAAATATTACTTTCGAATCCAGAAAAATTAAAACACTAATTAGAGCTATATATTTAACATAAAAATACAACAATAAATTAAGATAGTATGTTATTTTACAATAGTTCTTGTAGTTACTGGTTATTACGTGTAAAATATACCTGTGTTTATCTTGGAGAAATTAAGAATATTTCCAATGTTTGCTATTGCATGGTTTCCTGTATATTTTTTAGTCCCATCTTTTACAAAATAATTGAACCAGAAATCCTTTGGCTTCCACGTAAATTTAGTATGATTGTCCTATTCCAGTAGAAATCTAAAAATCAGATGTAAAAATCTTTTAATTTAGGAACATTTTTATAGTTTTCTTTGCTTCATCCCAAAAGGCATGAAAAATTTGTTTTAAAATTTTAAAATCCATTAAGCAAAATCGGAAACTGGCTATATTATTAGTTCCAATATATTTATTCTGAATAAGACTATCATTAATAACATACGATTCTGCCAGAGCCGAAATTAAGGAACCTGGTGCTGCCTTCTTATCAATATTTACAAAGCAAAACATCTTTACATTATTCTCCAATGGATACCAGCTCATCGCAGCAGAGTCGTAGCTAGGGTTTTCAGCGCCCAGGGACAACTGAAGATTTCGCTCCCCCTACTGCTTGCCAAGGATGGAAAACATTTAATTCTAAAATGTCGTAACATCAGTTTGGCGCCCCTTGGATTCTGCGCCCGGGGACAGATGCCCCCCCCTTGCCCCCCTCTAGCTACGCCCCTGCATCGCAGAAGCAATGAGTAGGCTGATACATTGGTTAAAATCCGTTTTGTGACTCAACAGTTAACTAAAAATCAGGGCTTAAATTCTACCGGAACCTAGGTACGGCTCCGTTCAATCTTTTAGTAAAACCGTAATTCCCGCCAAAAATATTGCTCTGGTATTTTAATTTGATTTTTTGCATCTTATTAAATTTTCGTATTTATTATTGTATTAATTTAATTTTATTTATCTTCATGATGACCTTTTATAGGGCTCTCGAACTTCGAATTTTGGAAATTAAGCCCTACTAAAAAGTTAATTGGTTAATTGGTACTTTTTCACAATTTCGGCAGGATTTGCAGAATGGAATTGCCGTTAAGGGTTGAAGCTTACTTCTACTGAGAGATATTCCGACTGGCTTCAACCTATTGCTGAATTACTGGCGACAACAGTTTGTTTTCGGATTGGTATGCTGATGAGTCTAGTTTGCCCTTTATATTTAAACAATGATGGTATTATGAACGAAAGTCAACTCCGGCTTTGCGAGGCTGCCCATTGTGTACTAACTTAGAGTGATGTTATAGTACAAGACTTCCTTTAAGCCAATGACAATGTATTTTGATTCTTCTGTTCTTTTATTGTCTTTTTAATTTTGAATTCTTAATATAGTTTTACTTGTGCCATACACATGACATAAAAAGAAGTTACATTTGTAAAAATTACTTTTTTTCTAAAATAGGAAGTTAACTAAAATTTACATAGAAATTACGAGAAAAATCAGTCTAATATTATTTCCGGATTTGATATGCATTTGACGTATCTCTCTAAATTATTTTAGTTAACTTGAAATTAATTTTATTTCCATAAGTCCATAATATGATTATATTAATTCTGATAACATAAAAAATGATTCATACAGTGTCCAAATTTTTTTAAGTAAATTATTTATGGAATTTACAGGGGGATACAACTAAGCTTGTACAAACTTCTGGAACGTACAAGGTGAAGGTCCTACAAAGACAAATCTAAATCAAATATTGGCGGGAAATGATATGGAGCTGTTGCCTTGTTGCTAGTGATGGCCATATGTTGATTAGAATTAGTCAAGTGAGCGTTTGAAGCCAAACCCTCTGCGATATAGATACATTGGACATATCCGGGGTTATACTTGGGAAACAATTTCCTATGGCAGCAGTAGCATTTTCTTCGTTATCCTACGCATCTTGACAACAAATTTGTACTTCACACTGGTGATTGCAGTGTTTGTGATGCCATTTTTCCAACAGGATAAGGCTCGTCCTCATACCGTTGCTATCACTCAGCGTGCTTTACAGAGTGAGATCACCCGATTCTCCCATTGGGTACGTATGCATCATTTCACATCTAAAATGGCTCTTCTGACAAATACTTTAACCTGTGATCATGAAATATTAATAAAATAAATATATCACCTAGACAAAGCTTTGCCTACGTTTCCTTCCTCTAAACTGATTTTATCTTGGTGTTGGGATTTGATTTTCCATCAGTGTGTGTGAATGCAGGGTCGAAAATGCCACTTTCATGTGTTAGTGTACGGAGAAGAAGGAAATGGAAAACCGGCGAGGTAAAGAAAAAAACTTTTAGTTACAATGCAACAGAACCATTTAGCCGTAACCGAACTATTTTATTGAACGCCATCTAGTGGCGAAGTGGGCAATCTAAGACAGTCGTTAGGTTACCCTGTAGCGATGACGTTAGGTTGGTTACCCTGTATTAGATGTTTCTGTAATTCAAATGTTTAATGTTCCGTTTGGTATATGTTTTATTTTTATTTATATTTTCTTTGTACCCGTTCCTGCGTGATCTGTTAACAAATACTTTTAAAGCTAGCCGGCGTTTGTATTTATTGAGGAAAGGCTACGACAAGACATTTTCAATAGACATTTTCAATTTCATTTTCAATTTCGAGAGCATTGAGGTTACAATAGTTGTTTAAAACTGCAGTCATGAAAACACACGCTTGACTTCGCCGACATACGAGGTTACATTCATGTTGGAAAATTTCTGGATTGTCTTTGTCTACGAAGCAGCTATAGAGATGTTTGCTGCAAGATACGCAACACTTCAGTTGGGGCACCTGTTCTTTTAATGCAACTATAAGTGTTACAAAGCCTCGTTAAAGTATGTTCTTGCAGGGCAATAAACGAACCTTCACGACCGATTTACGTATGTCCAGATGTCCTATTTGAGTGATGATGAGCGCAAAAAACTGGCGTTTCCAATCCTACATCGATATATGATTCCGTTTGCCTTTGCGAAACATACCGCTTCCTGAAGATTGTACATCTTTAGCTTAATCCTGTCCGAAGATTGTATATCTTTAGCTTAATCCTGTCCGAAGATTGTATATCTTTAGCTTAGTCCATTCTGTACTTGTATAATGTCTGACATTATCACATTTCAGACATTTTTAAATGTCTTTTCTGAAAAATTAAATCGCAAACATAAGACTTTGATTTTTTAATATAGATAGCATCTGGTTACGTCTGAGGTCCTTGGAAAAAGCGCTGGCTCTCAAAATACTGAAATTCCGCATTTGCCTGGAGAAATGGGAAAGTTTTCTTCGGTCCGCCGATTTTTGGACCCTGACATGGATATGGACAGGGCTTCAAATGACCATCTGCAGTCTAAGGACAAGTAAGTGTCAGCAAAATGATTGCACCAGGCAGCAACCGCTCACCTGGTATAGTGGTTCTGACTGCCGTACCAATGGGTCTGATTTTGAATCGTTGAAAAAAGAAGGTATGCATATTTGTATCCGTATATCCTCCATGCGGTATTGAGGTACTTCAAAATATACTACGAGACACAATGATAGTTAAAGACCTTCGGACCACCCCTGGAGTAATTCTTCTTGGGCGAAAGCTTGGGCTGAGCCTATGCTACAAAGGTGCTGGCCTAGCCTCTACCTGTACCTGTTTAAATAGACGGAATTTGAAGGCAGATTTCAAATTAAAACAAGTGTAAAAAGAAAAGTCGATAATATTAATAACAAAAAAATAAACAGGCAGATATCTTTACTTTTGGCTAAGATAGCCAAAAGTAAAGATATCTGCATACCAAATTTAAAACTTAAATGATAGTCAACATTGCAGATGGAATATCTGCAGGTACTACATCCATTACCACTCATTAAAAAAGCACTATTCATACTTGTGACGTGAAGGGAGCAGTTCTAATTAAATTATTTCAGAAGAAAATTTACTTTGGAATTATATAAATTATTGCAAATTAATCTCTGCTTTCTAATTTGCACTTTCGTATACGACATCCTTGTATGTCAAAGAAAGAAATTTAAAATGCGCACCAAAAAAATTTATAGAATAATTTTTAAGCTGCTGATTTCAAGATATTTTAAACCTATATAAAAACCAAACCAGAACTATCAGATGCTGAAACTGTCCAGTAGTTTTCCCATTTCTAAGCCTACAGAACTTAAGAATTAAAATTGAATTTTATTTCAGTAGACAGATATGAACTTAAAAAATAATTCCTTCATTTATATGATTTTGTTAAGGCAAAAAATTTTTAGAGCTATTATTTGCTATATTTATTTTATTAGGATAAAAATTAGTGATATTAAAAAGACTTTTTTTTTTTTTGAAATTTTCTTCCAGAATATTTAGTTGGTTTAGCTTCCAAAAGTAAGTTGATGTCATGGGTTGCGACCCGCATTCCGAGAGTTCTGTTGAAGAAAGGATTTCCTTCCTGTTTTGCAGATGGTATCCTTCTATGCGCCCTGGTGGAGAAACTGTGTATGGGTGCTTGCCCGAGATTTGACCTCTTAGATCCAGATGAGAAACAAAAGAATCTTAAGTTTGCTTTATATCTCGTAGAAAAGCATCTTGGTGTAAAACCCGTAAGTTATATAAAATTTCCTAGTAGCTTTATTCTTTAATGAATATTCATTCTTTAGATTAGTTCCGTCCTTTTTAAATGCAAATTTTCTGTTTGCTCAACTGTAAAACCCCTAATCCCCATTCGCTTTTTAAAAGGAAGAGTACATAAGGTGTTCACTACCTCCTTTCCTACCCTCATGGTGTAACTGGAAGCATACTTGACGCGCATTAGAGAGGTCCAGGGTTCGAGTCCCAGCAAGTGCACTGCACCTTTTCTGCTTCAAAAACATTTATGGCTCTGCAGCAAAAATGTGAAGATTACACCGTAGCTGAAAATGTGGTAATATGTGTAATAAGAAAGGAAGATTGATCGGTTTATTATTTATAATTGGAATACATTATAATTCAGTTTAGTCAGTTGGATAATATGAAGTATATGTAGGCAGACATTGTACTGCACTATGTCTTAAAAAAAAAAGAACCCCTAGAAAGAATGTAGCAACAAAATTATTTTTATAGATATGTAGAGTAGGCAATACAGAATAAATGATTAGCATTTCAAAACAATGCGCTTTATATAATCGATCAGTTAATATTTTGTGCATCCATGTATAGTTTGCATTACTTGCTGACATTGAACTAACACAGTTTTAACGGTACCCTGAAGAATATTTATCCAAGCTGCATTAACACAGAGCCTTAAAGATCCGCGAAGATTAGCTATATTTGCTGGAGGACTTTCATCCTTTGTTTGACTATATCTCGCACACTTTCCATGGGGGAATACTAAAGTTGTTTAGGTGACTAGATAGGAAGCGGGAGACTATATTAAAAACTCTCGTTGTTGGCTACCGTTTAAATAATAACGTTGTATTGCTAGAAAATTAACTCGGAAACGCGTCGCAAGCTTAAAAGAGCGATTGCTCGTAGTATGTCATTCACGTATCGAATATTCATTATGATGGTTTGAACTTACTAGAAGTGATCTGCTATTAAATCTAATAATGGAAGTGGCTGGTGAGGAACGTATGAGGGATTTTGGTAAGCAAGCTGAAATTACTTTTTTTAAAGATAAGATAAAATCGCAGGATTGTTTGAAACTTAATAAGAAGAAGGCTTGCAATCTGTTGACATGTTTTCAGACCTTTATAAATTCTCATGTTCAGTTGTTGGATGATGATTACAAAACTCTACTTGCTATACATTCGCAAGATACAAGATACAAGAGGAGCAATGGCAACATACAAGAAGGCTTGGCAACCTGTTGACATGTTTTCAGACCTTTATAAATTCTCATGTTAGTTTATTGGATGATGATTACAAAACTTTACTTGCTACACAATCGCAACGAAAGGAAGTCGTTCATACTTTGTCATCTCTGAAATAATTAGCGGAGGAAAGAATATATGCTGCAGAGGATTTCAGAGATCAATCTATGAATACAGAAATTTCGTTTATTTCTAATGAAGGTAAGTCTTAGCAAATTGAAAGTATTTCGACAACAGATTCTTTTACTCAAAAAGATCATTTAAAAAATGATGTTTCAGAGGATTTAGGGCTAGATAAAAATGTTCAAACCGATCTCGTAGGGAAAAAGGATAAACATTATTAAGGCATCTTCCTCTGTGGTAGGGTCGGCACCTCTTCAAACGTCTCAATCATCCTTCCCTCAGTCTTCTGGTGCGGTGGGTTCGAATCATACAGAAAAAGAGTACTGGGAACACCTGGATACCAAGAAAAAGATAGAAAACGTAATATTAGTGTCTTCAAAAGAGTCATCTTCTTCACCTGAGAATTTGCTTATAAAATTAACCTCTTTGGTTGACTCCTAAAAGCAAGGTATTCAAATTACTACCATGCCCATACTACTAAAACTAACGAACTTTTAAATGGCAGTGTCAATTCAGAATAACAAGTGAATATTCAATTCTTCAAAGTTCAGAAGGTAGTTTTAAAGTTCGTATACCTAAACAGCAGTTTGATTATTCAGTTATTATTGGTATTCTCTCTTAAGTTTCTGTGGAGGGCGTACGACAAACGTTTGATGACTTATTCCCTTTTATTCGAAATCGCAGTTGTCTTATGTTATTAACTTCCTAAGCACTGAGAATACTAAGAATTGGGTGCTGAAGATTGATAAACAGTATCTAATGAACTTCGGGTTCAGGCGTAGAATTTTTACTGGTTTCTCTTCCTCTCCTTTTAGAAAATATGTTAGAATAATGAGATGTTTTGGTTACCAGCTTTCGGTCATCATATAAGAAATCGCAAGGCGGCACAATACTGTGTACAATGTGCTCAGACGCATCAGCAGCACATTTCTGATTATAAAGAGGGACTATCATGCATTGATTGCGTAAGATATAATTTAGAAGCAGGCACTGGACGCAATATTGATCATGCTAAGTAGTTCGCGTTGATGTCCGGTTTACCAAGCAGAATTGAAAATGCAGTTAAGAAATTCTATTAACCAATATAGATTAAGATATTATTTGTGGAATTATGACTCAGTTTTGTTCTGTACTTTCCGTTGTGCAATTCATAATTTGTATGTATTACAGGTAAATATTTATCTCAATTTAAGTAATTTAATTTATAATTAAAGACTGATTTTGCTGAGATTCTTTAGTTAATTTGTTAAACAATTCTGTTTGAATTCCATTATTTTTGACTCCATGTATTTATTTATTTGACTTTCTGTAACCATTATTTTATTAATATTACTTAAACAGTATTGCCGATGAGACACCGATGTGAACTCATTGACTGTTTTCGGTAGTGTCATGTCATAACGGAAAAACGGATTATTATCTACTCTTATTTAAGATGATTTATGCTATATATATGTACAATGAACATGTGGAATTAATCATTATTGACATGCCTGCCAAGTAACTAAAGACTATTCTGATTTTGATGTCGAAGGTTAGACTTTTTCTATTGGACTTGCATATGTATATAATGATAGTGCTTATGTGATTTTGGCTAGCGCGTCGCGCAGCTGCACCACAGGTCCGAGTTCGATCCCCGGGCTGGGCAAGATTGAGTCAGCCTTTCATCCCTTGAATGGGTCGATAAAATGAATACCAAGTACGCTTGAGAACTAAACACCGGGGGTCCTGCAACAAGTTGACCACTTACCCTGGGCATATGCTGCTGCACTCCGAGGTCAAGAAAGCAGATTTCGGGGCACTGCAGGCCGTGGCCCACTAGGGCTGTTGCACGCTAAGTTTAGTTTAATTTAGATTATGTGATTTATATTGTTACTTTATGAACCTTGATAGGCTCAGAATTTCAATTTATGAAATATTTAATTGGACTTGGCGTGTTTACACAATGATTACGATCTTGTGAATTATGAACTTTGATAGGCAAAGAACTCTTATTTGCGAACCATATTCGTAGTTTCGTAGAGATTTTTATTATGAACATGTTTTGGACATTTTAGAGATTTTCATGAATATTAACTGGACTTCCAAATGATTATTTTGACCTTTATAAGACTCTACTTTGATATTATCCTGAGTAGTTGAAGGTAGCTTCGCTGTAGGAAATCATATGAACGTTATCTTTGCTTGTGTAACGACATGCCTTTAGTCGCACGTCGTACAATACTGCAATGATGTCTATATTTCATTTATGTCCACTGATTACTGTAACTTGTATTTGCTTGAGAACAAAATACACTCATGTCCATAAATTAAGGATAATGCAAAATCAGGCAAAGGAAGAGTTAGAAGCAAAACAAAGTTGACTTATTTGTAAAGCTTATTTATTAAACAAAAGGTAAAGAGAAAAAAAAAAGCTAAATGTTTGATATTATTAAAAAAATTAGCGATTTTTTCTCCCTGGAGCAAATTACAAAAAAACCAATATTACATGGTTGGTATGATTGTTAATACATTGTATGTCTCCCAGACGATGCAATACAGTCCGTACAACGCCTAGGCATGCTGAGTATCAAATTATCGATCTGATCTTGGGGGATATTACACCACTCAAAAAGCAATGCTCTCCGAAGTTCCGGTAGACATGTAGGAGGAGGTTGACGGGCTGCAACTCGTCGGCCAAGCATGTCCCACACGTGCTCTACTGGATTCAAGTCCGGTGAGAATGCTGGCCAGTCCATACGGGTGATATCCTCCGATTGAAGGCATTCGCTTACGATGTTTGCACGGTGAGGACGGGCGTTGTCATCCATAAACACAAATTGTGCGTCCATGGCGCCCCGAAACAAACGTACATGTTGTTCCAGAATGACGTCCCGATAGATTTGGCTTGTCATGGTTCCAATTTGAACATGCAGGTCAGTTCTGGAACCCAGAATAATTCCACCCCAAACGAGCACTCCTGCACCACCGTAACGGTGTCGTTCAATGATGTTTTCTTGGTGGTAACGGGTACCTGGAGCTCTCCATATGAAAGTCCGGCGAGAATCAGACTGCAAGCTAAACCTGGACTCGTCGGAAAACATCACACAAGCCCACTGTTGCGGTGTCCACAATGCATGCTCTCTACTCCAGGCTAACCGCAGGCGACAGTGAGTTGCAGTAAGTGGAACGCATCTGACAGGTCTACGAGCATATAGACCAATCTGCCCTAAGCGTCTGTACACGGTCTGCCTTGAAATTGTCGTACCAGTGGCTGAAGAGAGCTGACGAGACGAGACAGGTCTGAGGCTGTGCTCCGCCTGTTTCTTTTGGCAGTAACTGCCAAATACCGGTCCTCATTCGGCGTTGTTGTAACTCTGGGGCGACCTGTGCTGTAACGTCTACTCACATTACCATCATCTTGGAATCGTTGCCAAAGCCTGGAGATGACACTCTGGGCAATTCCAAGTTCGTCTGATACTTCCAGTTGGGTACGCCCACATTCCAGACGGCCGATAATTCTACCACGTAAAAAATCATCCAAATGCGTCCTTTGTGTCATAACTATTCGGTTATTGCACTGAAATGCTTATAAAGCGCCTGCGAACAATTTTACTTCTTTGCCTGTATTCCTTATATATCACTCTCTT